CTTCCCTCGGTCCCATTTCCTCCTGGTTCAAATCCTCCCGCGTGTCAACCCCCACCCCTCTTCTTCAACTTTCTGTTTCTCCTTCCTCTCTTCAGCAGGCGCTGATGGACTGCTGTCGAGTTGTGTAGCCGCCAACACCTGAATCCCGGCACTGCACACCCTGAGCTGCTGTCGCCCGAGGGACACTCTTTGGGGTTCAAGCCCAACGCTCCGCTGGGCTCCCTGGACGTGGCCTGTGTCCTCATCAAGGAGAAGGTCTGGGAGGACAGAGTGGTGCGCAGACCGGCGCCCAAAGTGCCAGAGGTGAGTAGCAGTGGAGCTTGATGGTGTTACGCGTATGATCTTTTTGGCACAGTGACATCTTACATGGTGACAAGTGAATACAGATTAAACAATACCAGCGTACACGACAACAAGAAATAGGAAAACTACCCCCTAGACAAAGCTGTCTAAGCTGGTTTTTTTTGTAATGTAGCTCATTGCAGCCTGGGATGGCAGTGAAAAAGCATAAGACGATAGTGCTGTAGCCCTCTGTAATGTCCGTCCCTCCTCTCTCTGCCTTTCGCCTCTGACGGCTGGCAGAAAGCAAGGCCAGTGAAGCCTGTAAGGGCGCATGCTAAGGTAGGAACCCGAGTTGGATTCACTGGCAAAGCAACGGAGTCAGTTCCCTCATACATTGGTCTTTCAAGTGTTCCTTTTTTTTTGTCTCGATCACCTGTCTCTTGGTGTCATCGCTTCTCACGACTCGCTTGGCTATCTGTAACCTATGTCCCCTGAGCATTAGTGTCTTTGCTCCTCCCCTTTTCTCCGTCTGTCCTCTGCTCTCCTCCTACAGTTTGAATATTTGATGAGTGCCTTACCTTTAGTTACCATGCATTATTTCTCTGCCCTTCTCAGGGCTCAGTGGCTGCTTTCTCTCCCTTTGACCCGACCCGGCCTCAGGCCAGAGTCTGACGCTGTTTCAGACCCTTCTCTCCGTCATCACACTTCTCTCTTTTATCTGTCTATCCCAATTAATTTAGTCTGATAAGACATTTAAAGGTAATTCTAATAGAATTGATATAAAAGCCCTGGACAAAATGTTAGAAAAGACATTTCAAAAACATGCAAAACAACTAAAAACACACTTACGGAGTAAACATCTCACCTGGCGGTGCAAGCTTCTATTAGCTTGTGATTGCTACTGTAGCTCCATCCAGGTGCATAAGCACACAACTGGATGAGATGACCTGCCTGTGCTAGTTTATCGCTCTGAGGACCAAAACCCGGAGAAGATTTCAGCACTACACACTTGTTGTGGATATTTAGAAAAATGCCCCCGACAAAACCGACTACTTTTTTGATAGTTTTGACTGTGAAACTAATGTCTTATAGGGACTTTATTAACCTTGGAAGAGGCCCGCTGAGGATGAAGCATTTTATGAATATTTCAGGCGCTTGAGTAGTGTGTTTGTATAGATGCTGATGTGAACCATCCCCATCGCGTCTCTATAATAGATCACCATGTAATGTGTAGACTTGACCACCTGAACACACGCACACTATTTAATAGTCTTTTTTTCTGTCAGCAACCAAAGTCTAACCTGAAGTTACTGATTGTTGAGGAGTCATTACGTGTTTGGATGTCCTGCTTTCTTGCTCTCCTTCCCACATGTTCTACATTGCATGTTTACTCTTACTCTATAATACCTCGAGACAGCAGTTTATCTCTGCTGTCTGCTCTTTGGTTATTATGTTCAATAAATATTTGTTGATACCGTGATGCATGTTGTCATTATACTGCCTAAAGTCATTGAGCCTTGTTTGTTTAGTCTTATTTCTTCCATCAAAGCTAACCCATTTCATAATCATATGAAATCAATGTCACGTGACTTCAGAATTGGAGAATGTCTTTGATAGTGATCTCTAATGAGCATTTTATTGCATCCGTTTGTTAGCCATTAATGTCTCTATTTATCCCCCCCCCCCCATTTTCCCTCTCCACATCAGAAAACTGTGCGTTTGATGGTGAACTACCACGGCAGCCAGAAGGCAGTGGTACGAGTCAACCCGTTTGTACCACTACAGGCTCTGGTGCCAGTCATCTGTGACAAGTGCGAGTTCGAGCCTGCACACGTGCTTCTCCTGAAGGACGGCATCAGTCACCACGAGCTGCCGCTGGACAGATCTCTGACCGAGCTGGGGATCAAGGAGCTCTACGTACACAATCAGAGTCTAGGTAAACCTTGCCCTCCTGCTCATGTCATGAGAGCTTATGTTTAGGTACCATAAGTCAGCACAAACGATGGCTTGCTCATCAACCTCCACTCCCCCGACCAACATAGCCGCTACACAGTCCTAGACTGAGGTGGAGTGTATAGAACCAGGGTGTGGCCGTGAGCCTGAATCCCTACCATCTACATATGTGTAAGTACGGACGAAAATCCCGTTTTTTCTCAAGGGGAATAGATTTTAGTGTCAACAGTGTTTGGCTTTGGCCACCGTAAAACGGATTTTACAAGGTCAAATTTGGTAATGGGAATAAAAGTCTTGTTGGTCCTTAGTAGGTTAAACAAACTATGGGTGTCATACAATCTCTGCCATTATCAGCTACTTGGATTCCAATGCAATGACCCACAGAACCAGAATCACATTGTCGTCGGACGTACGGCATGGCTAGCAAGTCAATATTTTTTTACAGTCCACACCCACTGCTTTCCATATTCGGTTTATGGTCATGATGGATGTGAACATTCTGAACATTACGAAATGTTTATGGTCAAATGCTATTACACAATGGTCATAATCTGGTATTTAGCCTTTTATTATCACCATTTAAGGATGTGGAACCTGTTTATCAGTTTGCGTCAGTGGTTCGACCCTGCCAGTGGTGCTGCAAAAGTGTGAATATAACAGATCGATTCATTCTTTATTTCTACGCTGGTCAGTTATCTAATAAATTACTGCAAGTGTTTTTAAAGCCTGTTATGTTTTCCAGTTTTCCAGCATAAAAGGGCTTCCGCTCCAACTCTTAACTACTCAGGTATAAGTCATGATAAGTCACGCCTGCCTTAGAGTTTACGTATAACCCAATGTGCAGCTGCTTGCTTATTAACCCTGCTTTTTTATGCGTTGGACATGCATGTCTGCTCCGTAGCCTGAAATAAATCATTTTGGGTTTAATGTCATTGTAATGTTGACACTTGTTTTGACATCATCTATGCTGTTTTATTGGAAATGATTTATCTATAAGACGAGTTGACGTATAGTTCTGTGTTTCCAGTTCATAGTTTACACTGCGTCCCGGTCCTCGAGTCAACAGTGTTATCATGAGACATTCTTACATGCTGCTTTGTGGACTGCGAAGACAAAAATAAAGCTTTAGCGCCCCCTGCTGAGGACATGGAAGATTATTCTGCTCAGTTCTTTGTGAATAAAAATGTAGTATGTAGACCATTCTGACATGTTTTAAAACATTTATAAGACATACGGAGTAAGTACACAAAGTAACGCAAATGTATAGATTATAATATTATCGTTGTATCCTACTGTCTCTGAAATGGGTCGTCGTGGCGCAGGGGTTAGAGAAGGTGTGCTGGGAAGCACAAGGTTGTTGGTTCGATTCCAGGCTGCCCCATGTTCCATGTCGAAGTGTCCCTGAGCAAGACACCTGACCCCTAATTGCTCCCCGGGCAAAAATGTGAAAAAGCCATGGGTTTAAAGTGTAATGTAAGTCGCTTTGGATAAAAGCGTCTGCTAAATGACCTGTAATGTAATGTAATGTAAATGTGCTGTTATGTAATTAACCTAAGCATGCTGTGAGCGTTGGCCACTCATTTCTACTAAACTTCTCACAGAGCTTTTTTCAGACTCAACGTGATTTGCTGTGCTTTATGAGTCACTTTTATGATTCATGGGCAACTCCTCCCCTCATCCCCCTCTTCTTCCTCTTTTACTTTTCATAGACTCCATCAGCTCCAGTACTAATAGTTTGAACAGAGCAGAGAAGAAAGGTCTCTTGGGTATCTTTCAATTCAGCAGAAGAAAAAACAGGGTAAGTTCCAGATCTCTGTGGGTGCAATTTGTTCAAGTTTTAGTATTCTTCTCCCTTTTTAAGAATATTACCTTTAGCAGTGCACGTAATTGTGTTTCATTATCAGTTGACTGGTCATACATACACAATGATTCATTCGATGGAGCTAACAGCACCTGATGGTCCACTAGGTTTGGAGTGACTCATTTGCATACGTCTCGTTTTAAAATGAATAACAAAGTTACTTTGAGTGGTGCACGCCAGACTAAACGCATTGCTGAAGACTTGAATGCTGCTTGCTGTTAGCTGTGCCTTCCGTTTCACAGACTGACACAACATCTATGGACACGGATGAGTGTGATGATAAAGTTATCCAAGTAACAGCCCCTCAATCTAATGTAAGTACTGTAACACACATTTTTTTATTGGGATCTCACCGTAACTCTTATCTAAAGCATTCCAATCATATACTGTGGACAGAATAACAGGAACGCCTGCACAATATGATACAGATAGCACGAACCTCAAACATTAACACAGGGAGGAATCAATATTTCTTTGACACTTTTGTTGCACTTGCAACCAAAATTTCAGAAGCTGGTACTTAGCGTTACAAGTCAATAGTGTCAATAGGGCTTTTATGGCAGTTGTGGGGGTTCCTGTTATGTTTCTTTCTTTCACCGCTACTAATACTTTAATGTATATGTACATGTTTTATAATAATATAATACAAGCCTGTCATATTCAACTTGATGGCAGATTGTAATGAAACACTCAAAGAGGCACAAGCTGGGTGAGTGTAGGGAGCACTAGTATTAGTTGACAATGCCAACACCTAATATTTTCTGAATAATGTATTCCGATTAGGTTTCCTTGCTGGTCAGCTAATTATTTTCAGTAACAGAAAAGTGAACGAGCTTCAACAGCTTCACAAGAATGATCCCGAAGGCTCAGACTTCTGGGCTGTGCTTTCTCTCGCTGTTATTAAGTCATTTATACACATCACCGTGTTGTTAGCAGCCACAATGCTAATTATTGCATCAGTTGATGTGGCAGGAACAACCTTTTAAATGTTTTTTTTTTTCACCAGAGATGGCAGCCGCATAGTTCATGTGAGCTACAGAGTCATAATAGTCACATTTATGGGAATATGTTGGATTGAAATATTGCTTTAAGCCCAGGGCAATCTTGCCAGATACGCCCTGCGAATGGTTTGCTCATTGCCCCTGTGTAATGTTTATGGGGTTTCGGTTAAGTACACTTACGTCCTCCAGAGGGCAGCAAGTGTCTCCAGGAGATCAGTCAGCAGTGTGTTAGCACTCTCAGGTCCAAAGAGCAAACGGGGCGGCCTGTAGTTTTACATCCCTGGTAATGTTCTTTCTGAGAAAAATAAGTACAAAACAATAAAAGGGTTAGTCAATAAAAGTTAGGTTTGGATATTTATGAGGGAGAACAGGCTGTGCTCAAGGACCAAGAAGGACCCATTCTACACAGTGGTCCACATTACTGAGTTGAAAAGCTTTGAGGAGAGCTAGAACCCCAAAATATGTTCACTCCTGTTTACGTCCATGTTCAACCAAAGCCCCGTTTCAGACACCGCGTCCAACGTCTCTCGATCTGTCAGAACTCAATCACGTTCATTTGATTTGGAAGCAATGAACTTCAGGTCAGCAGCAGCCATCTGTGGCTCACCTCAGATCAATATGGCGTTTGATTGCATTAGCTGGAAGAACACTGCCCGCCTCACTCTGCTTCTCTTCTCTGAGCGAGCACAAAGCGCCTGAAAGGCGCCTCTTTGGCCACCTCTTTGTTCTCTGCGTCTCCATCACCATCCAGTGTTCTGTAAGGTCTAAGCTTCCTTTAGGGGCTCCCTTATTCTCTTATTCATTTTCTTCATCAGATACCTCTGTTGACACATTCTCCTTTTGAAACCAATAACAAAGAAGACAACAAAAGAGAAATACCGAAGTGGAGGATGGATTAGGCTGCATGAAAGTGATGCGTAAAAGACAATGGGAACTAATTGCTATCAATTGATATTTATATTCAGTCACCGTTTCTCTGATATGATTGTCAGAGAATCAGCCAGTGACTGTTATCAGACCACACACATGCATTTGGGCACGCACACACACACACACACACACATATAGACCCTGTGTTATCAGCTTAAAGGTATCAGATTACCCTACCTTGGCTACATTAGCACTAAAAGCCCAGCCTCTTATCTATAATTGTTCATTAGGGGCCAAACTCCTGTGTGTGTGTGTGTGTGTGTGTGTGTGTGTGTGTGTGTGTGTGTGTGTGTGTGTGAGTGAGTGAACGTGCTTCTTAGAGCTCTTAACATGTTTAGATAGCATCATGTTACGGAACAGTGATGATTCTGAAGCAAACTCAATTATTAGAATGTCCTTGTTTGTTTGTGTTTTTTAGTTCACTTAGTTTACTGTGTATCTCTGTTGACTATGTAGAAGATAGATGTTGGTAGGGACAGATCCCGTATTTGATACATACTCATCCACTTCACCGTGTCTGGGTCATCGTTGTGCTGTATGTGTTTATCTGCAAGGGGTTAAAACGTAACTGAACAGGAGAACTCGATGACTTCCAGTGGACCGTTTACACCGTGCAATCCCTGTTGGCTGTGCTTACAAGAATAAAAGTTCCCACTTCTCACCACACCCATCAGAGGTGAAACAGACTTTCAACGTTTAAACATAGAGGGCAGTGAAGTGTTGCTTCTCAGTCAGGAGTTGTTCCTCAAACAACTTGTCTTGTCTTCCTCCATCATATATATATTTAGCTAAGCCTGTAAGTCTTCCTGATATACAAAGCAGCTGTGGGTTGCCATTCATACACTTAGGAGGAGGACGTCTCCTCCCTGCTGAAGTTTGATCCCCTCTGTGATTAGTATTTTTGCATTTGCGTGTGTGGTTTGTAGCAGGACATATAAGCGCTAAAAAGCATTCCACACAGAGACACCGTATGTGGGAAATGTCGCATCATTTTGACATACTCATTTGAACACAAGAGCTTTTGTGATTAGGAGGAGGATACGGCGAATTTGTGTTCCCCCCAAATGCTGCGGTACGTGTGTCAGAGCTCCCGTTTTCCCTCACTGTTTTGACAGATCTCAGATTGTTTACCAGAGGGAAGGAGTAGAAGAGAGCAGGTGAAGGAGTCAGGCAGAGTTCATGTGAATGTTCTGCTTTGAAAACTATGTTTCAGACTGCTCAAATAACATGAATCCATCACGTCCTCCAAGATCCTTCTTTTTTTATTTGTCGTCCCGTCTGCCATCTACCTCCCCTCCCCAGAATAGCAAAGTACTGACAGTACATACTTTCATTTTATATTTCACTTGCCATTCTCTTTTTTCTGCTATAAGTTCAAGTCGAGTTAATGTGCTTTGATGTAGTTTTCCTCAATCAAAGATATACTCAGCGTTGTAGTCACGGTGCGTTTTTCAAACACAATGACCAGTGTTTGTATATTTTGTATTTTCACCGTACTTTTGTACTTCGTTCAATAGTGCAAGCAGTACACATATATACGTGTCTCACAACACTATCTCTTTAAGTTCCATGAAAGGTAACACTACAGCGGAATGGTTTTTGCTGCAACAATCAAAATAATACAAACCCATTTGTACATACATGAAATGTTGCCAATGTAAAAAACAAAAGCTGCCATTCATTGCCGGTGTTTTACTCAGGGCCTTTTCCCATCCCTCGTAACTGCATGATGTTCTAACCTCTAATTATATCTAATGACCTGAACGTCATGTTCCTTTTTGGCTGTGCTTTTTACGCCGTATCAGGGCATTGTCTGAACGCATCAATTAATCCGCTTTTAAACAGGGTTCTTTTCTTAGATCATGGGGGTGTGAGTCATGGTTCCCCCATCGTGCCAAAGCTCTGTACCAAGCTGAGCCGACGGGAGTTTCACATTTTCAAGAGCACTTTGGGCTCGCTTTGATCAGTTATTGAAAACCATTCTTGTTTTTTTGTTCCAATGCTTTGGTCAAAAGCGGCCACCCTCTAAAATGCAGTTGCACTATAAACTAAACGAAGGTTGTAATAATTGTGACTGAAGAATGGAGGACAGGTGGATTCCATGTATGCATGTATTTTATTTTTGTTTCAACTTGAATACACTCAACAAATAAGTTGAGGAGGATCTCCCTCTGAGGCCAGTTTAAAAGTTACATATGAAATAAATGCCTTTGATACAGCTGTCTTTTTCAACCATAACATCAACCCTTGAAATAAACATTACCAGGCAGTTGAGCCCCGTCAGTAATCGTTTGTTAGTTAGCATGCTATCTAATTATGTGACAGTTTTCAGTTCTGCTTCTCATACGTCTCTCTTGTTGATTATTTTGATTTATACGACATAGTAAGTTATTATATGATTAACATCTTAATAAAAGCTATAGTAGTAGCCTTTGGAGAGATAGAGATTACTAAGGGGAATCTTTCAAGGTATTTCAGTTATTGGTGGAAAAAAAAAATATCATGAGCAATGTAAACGCCTATAACTCAGTGGTCAGGTCCCTCAGCCACTTGAGATTGGTAGCAAAGTGTCCTTAAATCATGTACACGTTTACTGCATCTGCACATCACCCACAGGGTCTGTCCACCGCGTCAGGGGTCCTCAGCGTAGAAGATCGACCGAGCACCTTGGGCCAGTCTCAGTCCGTCATGAACATATCGAGGATGTCTCCCAAGGCTGAGACCAAGAAGAGGAGGGCCCCAGCACTACCCGCAGCCACAACAGCCACCACGGGACACGGTAGCTTTGGGGGCTACGAGGTGAGGAGATTTAAGGGCTGTGTGTCAGCAAGCGTTAGACTCGTTGATCAAAGGATGCCTGCTACCAACAGAGCCTTTGTGGATTATTTCAGCCTTTCCTCTCCTCTGGGGGTCCAAGGTCACACTGACCTGTTTCGTCTGCATTAAGAAAACGGCTCCTTGCTGTCTCACTACAGTGTTATGGCAGCATGCTGGGAAGTGTTTTTTAGCAAGCAACATCCTTCCTCTCTCCGTGCGATAATAACCTTTTGTTTTTTTATTTGAGAAGTGTTGTTGCTCGATGTTATGGACAGGAGATTTTGTTCTCACGACGGCATGGTATTGTTCTCTTTAGCTCAATTAACCAAAGTAGGTGCAGAGTGGAGGAGCAGAAATCATTTTGTGGAATTTGTGATGAGAAAATCAATGAAAGTGCAAACACAAGCTTGGATGATCTCATTCACAACTTCTTTTGTTCCCAATAAGTAGACAGAAATTAAATAATGCCACAAAAACACACAGATCATACATTCCTAGGCTATCTTTAATCTAAATCTAAAAGTGTTCCAGTACCACTTGATGATGGTAGAGTAAGTATTGTATTGAGTATTGAGCTACCAGTGAACCATTTCAAGTATGAATATGGCCAAGTGTAAATGGTGTCCTGCCTTAGGGTATTCCTATCAGCTGAATTAGATATGTCAGGTATTTTCTTTTTGCAGTGCACCAGGACTCTGTTAAGAGGTTCCTTATAGCTGCTGGGATTGTTTTAGTAGTGCAAACTGTAACCGTGCAGATCATTTATCTGTCCACCAGATGAGAGACACCAGAGCTGAAATACTGAAACACCACTGGGAGTCACCGGAGTGGCTTCACAGTTGGGAAAGGTCATCTGAGGACTTGATGACTGGTCTAATAGCAGATTGCTCCATCTCCCTGACTGCCTCATGGATATTCCTAAAAATCCAGACGGTTGCGGTGCCGTGCCGCCTCTCGGTTTTCTCGGGTCGAGAAAAGTGGTAGAATCAACAGTTCTGCCTTATATAGTCAACAAGTGACACGTAATATACTGTATATATTATATATGGGTTTCTCAGGGGCATTGGCATTCAACACCATCGCATGACCGATTTATGGAACAATTACCTGAGTCAAATCAATCGTTCCACATTTACATTCTCTCAAGCCTATTAGAAATATTATAGCAGAGGAGCTTTTCATTATGCCTGTCCTGCTTTGGGGTCTCCCTCTGAGCCGAACAAGCTAGGTGGTCAACTAATAGTGACTTAGTTACAAGACACAGTAATCGACATTGACATTATAATATAAGCCGTGTGGGTGATGACATTTTTATAATGAAGCTAAATACTTTAATACAAATGGTCTTTGGGTATACAGAGAATAGTGGCAGTCATAGTAAACCATAGTCAGAAAATCTCTTGCTGTGGATCACAACTGACCAATTTTAGATTGTTTGCTGCTTAGAAGATTTGGCTCTGGGTCGTTCTCCTTCACTCGCTTTCTTTTCATGTGGGCTTAAGATGAATTTACTGAAATACTTACTTGAGTAGATTGGATGAGGTTAACATCCTGATATGTTATGTTTGTGATTGTGTATATTAGGATTGTCAACATGGGTCGATGGTGGCGCATGGAGTAGCGAGGTTATGCTGCAAACAGCAAGGTTGGTGGTTTGACTCTCGGCTGCTCCATGTCCCATGTCAAAGTGTCCTTGAGCAAGACACCTAACCCCTAATTGCTCGCCAGGCAAAAATGTGTAAAGCCATGTGTTAAAAATGCAATGGAAGTCTTTTTGGATAAAAACGTCAGCTAAATTACCCGTAATGTAACATAAACACATTATGCAATTAATATGGCTTAGATTAATGCAACAAATTATGTTAACAGAGTTAACGTACGTTTGTTCACTTTCGAATCGGAAGTTGACTGCGCAAGTGAATCGGCCGCTAGCTGCGGTCAGTTACATCAAGATGGAGAGAGCTTTTTGTATTGGAAGTAAAATAAAACAGGCGCGACATACAGTGGAGAACAGCAGAGGAATTACTCCACGTGTCAAACAGAAGGGGGGTGAGTGGCAAAGGGACTAAATGTGGAAAGATTGTTGGCACTTCAAACACAGCCATTAAATTATGGACAATGCGTGCGAAAGTCCACAAGGACAACATGGATAGTCGCTAGTTCCGCCCGGTGGAATAGTTTTGCTGTAGTTTTGTTTTTAAAATAACATTAACAATTAAACAACAGTGTCTGAAAAACAAGATTTAGGATTCAGTCTTTAGAAGAAAAACAAACATTCATTAATCGCCATTAATTGAGATTAATTAATTTCAAAATGTGCGATTAATTAGTTATGTTTGATTAATCTATTAACATCCCTGGTGTATATACAGTACACACTGCATTGTATTACAGTATATCTTTTACACAGGGTCGTTGTCCAATTTCTTGTGCAAAATAGATTTCAGGTTGTTGAAACAAAATCTTTAACACTTCTTTTTACCCTCCTATTTCAGTCACCGTATGAAAGAAGATCTTGTCTTGTCAGTAGATCTTGGGGAGGATGTCTGGAGGCTGGTTGCTGTCAGAATGTGAACAGCATTTGCGCTAAAAACAGATGACGCAGTTTTCCAGGAAGATTCTCCTCGCTTCGACTGTAGGAGGTTCGGATGTTTTCTCATGGTGGTCATGAAGGAGACAGAGAGCTCCTTTTCTTTCTCCGGCTTAGTAAACAGCAATCTGTGTGTGTCTTCATGGAAGCGGCACAGATTTAAATGATGTTTTGGAACATTGAGTGCACAGAAACAAAACCTTGTTTTTGGGTTGTTGTTTCCAGCGGTGATAGCCAATCTGATATTGTGGAAAGAAAGCCGGGCCGAAGTTTCCTCTTGTGATAAAGGAGTTCAGAGAATTTCTGAGCTCTCTGCTTCAATGCTCAGGACCACAAGGTGCTTCTTGAATGCGTTTGTGCACATGTGTGTTGTGTGATCAGAGATAAAGAATGCCAAAAACTTAATAACAAAACTTGAAGACAGAAAGCTGAAGCAACAGAGAATGAGAGAGAGAATAAAGACCAAAAGAGAGAGAACTGCACGGCTTAGACGGTCACAGTGAGTCAAAGTAAGGTAACAGCTGCTCTTAAAAGTGTGTGTTCAATCCATTGTGCAACATTGACTTTGTATAAGCTTTGGGATCATATCGCCAAAATGCGGTACAGCATGAAATCTGGTTGGCATCCGTTACTTGGCACCAACATCACCTTCAGGACGCAATAGGAAAGGAATTCAACAGACAATGAGCAGCATTGAAGTTCAGAAGTTGAAGCAGTAGTGACCGGGCAGTCTGTGAGTCTGAAAGAACATTTAACCTGGAGCTTAGCATAGACTTCAGCTTTCATCGCACATTCTCTGCTCCCCTGTTTTATTCCACCAACTTTCTTCTTTTTTACAACATTGACTGGACTAATCTCCCTGGACTACTCAGTTATTTGCAACATGACATGTATGCAGACCTGGGAGAACATTTTTTAATGGATTCGTTTTATAACCAATCAAGCAAGATGCAACACAGACACATCTCCTGTTTTACACAGCAGATTTTATTGTGAAAGTAAAGCCAGGAAATGGAGACCTGTCGTCCTTTACATCAAACCTGCTTGCTGTGAAACCATGATGTGTGGAATTAAAACATTGCACACTTGGAAGAACACACGTGAACCATGGGAGCAGTTGCCCTGCCACAGCTGTTTGAGATTAAATATCTCAAGGGACATTCGTCTGTCACTTCCAACAAATGTTTGCCCAAAGCAGCTCTGACATAACGTGACCGCTGATCAGACCTCAACTATGGCAGCTTGCCCGACTGTGAGAGGCAGCAGGATAGTTTGAGTGTTTAAATCACAAGCTTTCTGCTAAACCGTCTGCTGTCTTTGTCTTTGCAGTTTTTGTCTAACATAGTATGTGTTTAGTTGTGCGTATGTGCTAAACGGTCGTAGCCTTCTGCCTGCCTTTACTGTCCGCACAGTTTTCCACGTTGCATAAAGTTGTTTTTTGTACGTGCTGCATTCCTGCCTGAGTCCGTGTGGCTTCTTGATTGATCGAGCTGGCTAGGTTTTTCTTCCTGATGATCTGTCACAGGGTGAAAGTAGAGAGTTGGCAGCAGAGGGAGGCTTGTTTTTCACAGCCATCCATCAGTCATGTAATTGACTACAGCGGTTCAATCTGCTCTGATGCACAGCTCCCGTTTAATCAGCCGGACAGAACACACAATGCTTCTGTGTTTATTAATGTGTGTTAAAGGTTGTCCCTTCGTCTGTCTCCTTTTTTTCTGTTATCCATCTGTCTTAAAAATTTGTGTTAATACTACTCAATGTGAGCTTTTCTTCTTTTGCGTACTCTCTGATTTGTCGACTTGTCACATCCTCACCCAATTAATTCACGCCGCCACCCCGCTGAGCATCATCAGTAAAGAGGGCAGCTGTTGTTTTCTTATTGTGGCTTGTTGCTGTTTCAATTGGCCGTCATGTAATTACAAAAAGATGTACATAACACATATTGTATTACATATTCTTATTTTTTACATGGACATTATCATTAATGTAGATGATTGTATATTAATGTTAGAAAACATACAATTCAGGAACATTCTCGATCCTTTAATCATTCATTCATTTTTAATTTAGTCTTGTGCCGTACTTGAGCTTGGTCCTTGTCAGACAGACACCTGCCGACAGCATGAATAAACCTGTGTGCTTGGTGTTGAGGTAGTGACGGCTGAATTTGGATGCGTGCGTGTGTGTTTGTTGCCCTTGCTCAAAGAAAAATAATTGCCATTAAAATGTAACAATACTACCAATATATTGTTCTGCTCGGAATCCTCCAACATAACTTCTAAACATTCAGTCTATGTGGGTCGGTAGGGCAAAGTAGACCACAAAGGAACTGGGTCAGCCATGTGTCTCCTTACCCTTGCCCCCCCCTTATATTTTCACACAGACACATTGTTGAGACATTTAACATCAAACTTCCCTCATCAAACATCCCACACATGTTCATTATAACACACAAACACGCACTAGCACACAATAAGCCTAACACACCGTCTTCCCGTCTGCTGTGCTGTGCTGTGCTCCCTCAGTGGTGAGACCGTTGAGGCGCTATTATTATCCTTGACACATACACACACACACGTCTGCGAACATGCATCCAGATATGAATGTACTCATAAGCACATGCTCCCACCTATACGGTTCAACCCCCTCTCACACACACACACACACACACACACACACCTTCCGCATTCCACATTAGTGCAGTAATGTTGCCCTGTAACAAAGCCGCGTGCCCATCAAGAGTCCTTCAAAACAACTGATGAATGGTCACACCACCAGGCTGAGGCCTCCATGGGTGGCCCTATCTGATCAACGTGCTCCAACATGGGGCCTCTCGAACCACACCACACCAGACTTCCCTTGCATGGCGCTCTATGCACTTTTGTGTTGCAACGAATTCTACATTGAGTGCTTTGTCCTCTCCTCTGGTCCCTGCTGGCAGAGACTCTTTGGTAATGTGAAGGTGCAGCCAGAGATATGCACAATGTCCGCATTTATATTGTTCTTACCACCACACTGTAGTCAATAATAGACCTAAGCAGGCTTCAGTCCAAGCCCAGTTTTGTCCAAAACACTGCAGAGGAGACAGGAACTCTACCATAGCAGTCATCAAGTTCTCTATTTCCCGTTCCTTTTAGATCAAACACAAACGCATGGGCATGGACACAAAGATAATCAGATGGTGGCTGATGACGTCCTTACAGTCTTTGGTAGTCATCCAAAATAAGCTGACTCCTGGAGACTTGTTGATTGGGTTCCTTTTAGCACGAGTAAACTAAGTGAAAAAGTGAGAAAGCTCTTCATTTTTCTTCTTCCCTGAGGTTTTTTAATACAATACAACATGATCCATGAATCTGGCTCCCCTTTGATAGTGACATTTTTTTTCCTATAAAAATAAGATCTACTAAATGTTTAATCAATTTCCAAATCAACAAATGGGAACGGAAAGAGGTGTTGAGCATTTCTGTGTCTTTGCGCAATGGATTTTCTAGCTCCGCCATCTTTAATTATAAACACTTTATAGAGAACTCCGCCCTCACTTCCTTGGATTTGCATTGCTTTAATTTGATATTGTTGCTGCTTGGGATTTGATGCAACATGATTCGACTGCGAGCGTCAGGCCCTGTCCTTTGCTCTGCGGGGACTTGGCTTGTGATGCCGTACCACATGTTGACTTGAGACACAAGCAGGAGGGACCAGATCCCGTCCCAGCTTCCATAAATACATGCTGTTAAAAGAAAAGATGATGATTTACAGCTATTCTTTTAACTTGCATTTTGAAAAAAGTCAAAACCGCCGCAAATGCAAAACCAAAAAACAACACATGAAAACATAGTGTGCACATGCTGATATTACATAATGAGCTTAACTTAATGTTCAGACTCTTAAAATCTTAAGTAAATGCTACGTGGAGCCCATGTGCAAATCCATGCACCCCGGCTCAGGTGAGAAATGAGAGGTTCTGTTGTGTGTGTGCACACATGAGAAAAGTCATACAAGTGTGGATGTGTTCTGAAGCTCTCCTCCTTTCATAGCAGGTCTTGTGTTGCACTCTGCAGGGAACACACACACATTCTCACACACATGCGTCATCTTCACAGGCGAGTCAGTCAGCCATTTCAGCTTCAACTCTGGCCCACATCCACTGGCATGTCTGTATTGATGCCGGAGAGGGAGAGAAGCGGGAGACCATGGAAGTGAAAGACGGACCGTTGCCGGAAAGGGGGGCTTTCAATTTCTATAGCATGACATGCATTGAGTTCATTGAGTTCACGTGTTTGAACCCATTTGTTTGCAGAAAGGCGAGGTTCTTCTGATGCAACCCTTCACGCGGCTCCAGGCATGTTCTCTGTTGAGCTTTTGAGTGACGAAAAGTTAAAGTCAGCAGCAGAAAACTTTAGACACCTTTACTGTTGAAACCTGTCCGTAGCACTTCATTATTGATGATTAGACAACCGACTTCACACAGAGTGAGATCACCTAGCACAGTGAACGATCTCATCCGCCCGTGGAATAAATAAATGCTTTTTAGTTTACATAGTTTAATCCCATCTGCACCTGTTGGTTTCTCCCTATCTTCCGCTTTCTCTCTCTATCTCTTTCTTTCACTCTCTCTCTCTTTCCTTCCTTCCTTAATCCTCCAAGACCAATGTTTGCACTATAATTATATTGAAAAACAGAAAGTGGTTTTAACGTTTTGCCCAATTTCCATCGAACCTGTTTCCCACTGCAGGTCATTGTATTTTTTTTCCCAAAGTTGACGGCTTACCTCAATGATTCAAGTTGAAACACGCCAGTAATCGTGTTTGAACGCAATGGATTGAGTGTTGGAGAACGAGAGAATGAAGAGAGACTTTTTAAATGTTTGTATGCAGATAAAATCACATAATCTTGCATATAGTTGAGCTGTCACTTAACCCAATCAAGTGATCAGTGATACCAGAATAACGAGGAATTTTGCAAGTCGGGAACATCTGAATAATGGTGGATGTCCCCTTGAGATATTTTGAGAAACATCACAGTAATTTGCAGTTTCAAAATGTACTATCACAACAGCTCTGGATCAAATGAACTGGGGTCACTGCCAGACGTTTTAAATCTTGTATAATAATTTAAAAGGAATTTTGGCACTAAATTTTGAGTCTCAGACGCATGCCAGAGCTCCACTTGATTTAATTACTCAGTAGTAACCTCAACTTCTGCTCTGGTCTAGACAGGCTGATTAATGGTCGAACCCCCCCGCAGACGTGGTGCTTCGATTAATTAACTTTTCTTGCATTTATTTTCCATCAGATGGGCCTCGGCTCAGAAAGCCAGCAGAGGAAGAGGAAGGCCCCAGCCCCTCCTCCCACCCCGGCTTCGATCTCCCCAGGCGCCGACGGCACCTCAACCTCTGCCGTTTCCTCCCCTGTCAGCCCCGCTACCGAGACACCCAGCCCGGCCTTCTCTCAATCGAACGCCGCCTCCGCCACCGCCGTGAAAATAGCGAAACCGGTGAACCCTCCACCCGTGTGCTCTGCCAGCCCGACCCCCGGTTCCCCGACACCGAGCGGCAGCAGCGGCACCACCGACAGCCCGGCTGTGCAGGACTCCAGCTCCGAACTCAGCCACAGCCTCGACGACTCCGACCCGGACCAGGCCGCTTCGTACTGCAGCTCCCTCACCAGCAGCACGGCCAGCGGGTCCGTGCGGCTCCAGCCCGCTGTGAAAAGCTCCGGCCGAAGGGCGGAGGCGGAGGCATCGGAAAAGGCCAAGTCGAGCCGAGAAGCGACCTCAGCGAGCAGCTCCAGGTCGGAGAGCGAGACGGCCCTAAACGTGAAACTGGACGACGTTGAGAACAACCGGCACAGCGCGATGGGTAACTATCTCATGAAATGGCTCGACAGACACGCAGAAGCCAGCACCTGACGCAGAGTTTAGAAGCATTGAAAGTGAATCATCTTCTATGTTTAAGGAGCGAATCAGCCTAAAGTGACTGATTGTCTCCCCTGAAGAAAATGAACCCACATTGTCAAGAATGACGTACATGACCCGCTGACATGCTGTGTGTGTGTGTGTGTGTGTGTGTCATGGTTGATGGAGCGGGAGTAGTGGAGCTGGTTTACATCTTTGTCTATTGTCTGTTCTTCTCTCTCTCTCGCATGCGCACAGCCACACAAACAAACCTTTAAAGCTGGCAGACAGATGGATCTATCATAGATTAAAACAAGATCTACTTGAACTATAGCTGACCTTGTATCGGTCTTACTAAAACCTAGATCTTTCCCTGAGGGAAAAGATGAGAGAGTATGAAAAGGCATGAGGAAGGTGAGGTTACCGGAGTCCAGAGGGAGAAGCATGGTGAGGCTTCGACAGTGTAGCGAGGAAGGAACGAGGCGACTAGAAGGGTTTAAGGAGAGGTGATGATGGACAGGCAGATACAAGCAAGAGAAAGGATGAGGTATGCGGAGGTTCTTGTATTTCTAAGGAAAGAACAGAACATCATTCATACTTTTAGAGACCGAGCTTCTCTGTTTTTCTCGTCTCCTGACTGCTGACAGTGTAACACCTCCTCTCTTCTTTCTTTCTCAGACCCTCCCTTTATCAGTCGTCTGCATTTGTCTTTACACAGTAAGAGAAAGTACTCATTCTGAGTGCAACTGGGCATTTCTTGTAAAACAGTTTGGTTCCAGAAGCCACGGTCCGTTTTTACCAGCGCACAACCTCATCATGCACTGACTAAAAACTAGACGTCCTTTGATACAGTCACTGCAGTCTGTTATACATCATCATTACACATTTGTAGTATCATACTGTTGCTCATTCTTAGCCGCCAGTTCCTAGCTGTGTTAGTGCCTGATGTTGGTTCATTTGATTTACCTCTTGTAGCGTCTTCAGCTTTTTCAGACTGTCCACATGAATCATCCGGCTATTTAGCGGAGCACCAAAGGCATCATCACAATGTGTGCTTATTTAGATCTTTCTTTGTAAGAATCATGGCAACAACAATGTTGGCAACAACAACAAGATCAACTCCTGGTCATTTAGTGTGTAATGAATAGCAGCGGCGGATTAAGTTGTGTTTGTGTGATCGAGCGTTGTTTATCATCTCGGCCCTGCAAACCGTTTGGGTTCCCTTCGACCGTCGACAGCAGAGTGAACAGATAAAGTAGCAGAGCGACAGCAGCTGCTGACTAAGACACAGCGCGCTGATGCATCTCTCGTCTTATAAGGACATTAAAGCAGATACATTTCAACAATGGTGTTTTACAGTAATTGTCCTTTACCCCCTACAACCTAATATGTTATCTACATTGACGTTGTCCCGTTCATCAGTCCACTCAGTTGACTCCGCTCTGGATATTGTAGTTTGCATATGCTACACGTCCGTATTTACCCGTCTTTATCTCCTTTTTTACTAGCTCGTCTAGCAGGAACATTTCTTTTTTTAATCAAGCTGATTTTTAGCATGAAGTAGGGAGGAAATATTGGGTTGTGGGAATGCTGTTAAATGCTAAAACTAGTAATAATCACATGCAACATATGAATATCCACACAATGCTACTTTCTGTCACTGAATGTCATCCATCACCTGAAGCTATTAAGCCTCCGACTATCGCAGGACAGCTTTTGTCTGGCATCTAGTTTCAAAGTGGTAAACTGGCAGTTACTTGTTACATAAAGCCGGATTTTAAAATGAATGCATTTTAATTGTCTTTACACTTAATGGCTTTCGCATGCAACATATGATTAAAACCGCTGCAAATTCAAACGTATTCTTTTTTAAAGTTTTCACAGGAGTTAGCAAATCTTAACATGTGACATGATTCGACAGGCCTCAGTTGCCAAGAATTCCAGTACAGACGGTAATCAATTAAATCCAATGAAATGTGTTATTCCCACAGAGTAATGGTAGAACCTTACAAATAAATTTGCTGTGAACACAAGAGGAGCTTACTGCACTTTTTACCGAGTTCACCTCCATGGATGTGCAGACAAATGAAGGAGTTCTACTCACAGAAACTCTGACTTCCTCACCCACAAACCACCGTATGATTTACAAGCAGTCTCTTAAGAACTTCACCACGAACACACAGCAGCAACAACGTTTCCAGAACACATAAAAAACAAACTATCTTGATGAGTACATCATGTTTTCTATGCTACTTTTAGTTTGATAGTAGTTTGCATGTAAGATGGTTGTGCCTTGTCCTCCTTTTTTTATTACCAACATGACCGTCAGTTCCTGCCCTTCCTTTCATGCCGTTTCTCCCACAGGAGCCACTGATCAACCGGCGCCACCCAAACCTCGTCGCACCGCGGCGCGGGATCCTCCCCATCTTGTCCTACCCCCTACTCTCCCCTCCCCTTCCATTGCGCCCACAGAAAGCAACAGTCCCGAGGAGGCCGGGGAAGCAGGCCCCCAGTGTAGGTGCCACATCGGAGGCCTCTCCCTTTCCTTTTCATCTTGGCCGTTCTTTTCTTTCCTAGAAGCTGCTCCTCTGCTTGTTTTCTTGTTTGCATGTATGTGAATACTGTACGTTGTCCTTGAATGCTTCCATCTCGCAGCCCGGACAGCTGAATTGTTAAGTGATGCTGGGCCTTACCTATATATGTCAACCTCTCATGCCCTGTTTTTCTTCTGGGTCCTAAAGTTCAGGGCTGGGGTCAACAACAGTCAGCGTGGGTGCCTTTTTTGTTGGATGTATACAGTACATGGGAGTGTACTAGATGCATAATGGAAGACATTGTTAAGTGATGCTAAACCGCCGTATGAGTCTGTTTGTGTTCTTCTTTGCATTTGCAGGAAAAATTGACAAATATTACAATTTCCTGTTATTTTGCCATGAATTTCTCTCTTCCCAGTTATGCTGGGTCTGGATGTGGTCTTCTTTGTCATTCACGCCAGATGCAATGTTGCAGTTCTCACCGTCTCAAACCTCACCTGTTCTTTTCGCCCCCCCTCCCTTCTCCCCCCTGCACCCTGCTTTACAGTGTACTGCTGTGGGCCTGTACGTCTGCGCTCCAAGCACTCCTGAAGTCTCCCTCCGGCACAACCTGGCCAATCGGTTCCCTTTGCTTCCTCTCGGCCCCTTCCTATTTCTCCTGGACCTCCCTCTGATGTTCACCACCTTCATACTCTACTGTGTCCTCTGTAGTCTTCTATATATGTCCTTGTTCCGTTGCCTGAATAGTTTGAATGGTCCTTGTTTCTTTTACTTGCTTTCACTTGGTGTCACGATGCCTCACAGAAGCGACTTTGCAGTAACCTGAGCTTTTTCCCGAGCTGCTTCTTCCTTTATATGGTTTTGATTAGCTTTTATTAGAAAGAAAATACAACAATTGAAAGCAAGTAGTGCTCTCCACTCTTTTTTTACACAAATATGATGATTTTTTTATTTCAACTTGATCGGCAAGTCGTTATTGATTATGCAGGAGATCAGAGCTCCTGAGGTTAAAGTGGACGCACAGAATGTGGTCAGAAGGCAGATGGCAGATGAGCTCAACCGTGGTGGTATCAATTACAGTGTGATTGATGAGTGACATGCTCAAATGAGGCTATGAGGCAAGGCCATGCGATATCTATCAGCCAATACTCTGGTAATGCGATATCTGGAGATCAATAATTGTACAGCGTGTGTTTCTCTCTTTCTGTGTGTTGTGGCTTGTTTTAGAAACCGTACGCCTAAATGCACGCTGCTGTTATGGAGAGGGTAATCTATCCATGACGGATTGCTTTTAGGTAGTGGTGCCTCGTGCATTTTAAAGATAATTGTGAGAGGTGAACCTTGTTAGAAAAGAGAATGGCACTACACACTGATTTGTTGTAGTAATTTGTGGTAGTATTACTTTTGGGGGCTTTCTGCTACATTAATGCTTCACGGTTTGTTCCTAAATGATTGTTAGGGATCCAAAAAACAGATTAATTGGGTCCAAAAAAAACATTATATAAATTTTATCTTTGGTTTAAAAACTACAAGATACCTACCTACCCATCATCCTGACAGTATGTGTTCAATTTGTAGCTCTATATTATTACATAGTCTTCTCGTTAAAACATGCAAAATGCTCTTTTTGTGTGGTAATTTTGTTGTGGGAAGGAAGCCTGTTTTTATCACATTACTTGTTCTGTTACCATTCGAATGTAACTATTATGGTGTCACAGATCCAAATCGGTTTATGTATGTCAAATATGATTTGTCCTCTGCAAGTTCAAAGCCAATGAGTTCTGATTGAAATGTTCAGCCTCTCAAGGGCAATTGTGATGATTTTTCTGTATGGGCAATCTATGTTGTGATTGAAAAGCAGATTATATGTTTGACATTTTTCAATTAAACAGTTGAAGACTGGATCGAGATGGAAGGACTTTGGTTTGGGACAGTGCACGGATAGCATTGGTTTGCTTTTGACAAGTAACGTGTCACACTAATGATTTGCTTGATACACTGTTTGGCTTTAACTGGAGATTGTGTCACGTTGAGTTGGAAGTTTGAGTATATTTTGGGCCCTTTTAAAGTGTGTTTGTAATATATGAAAGCATGAGAAAAGAGTGCACTCGTTGTGGCTGTAGCTGGCATGACTAAGCTGTTGCTGGGAAGGAGCTGGGAGGACGGCCCTGTGAGTCACCACCACATCGCCTGGAACTGACTGTTGGACACACCCGCAGATAAACGCGCTTTGGAAACAGTTAAACTCATTTTTAATAAGTTCCCAGTGCTGTGCATGGCGGCTGGGATGCTGAAAACCTTACGATACATTGATTTGTATTTTCTTTAGTTTAGAATTTAATGGTATGGTTTAGAATTTAATGATATAAGTAACATACTAAATAACTTCCACAAATTTGGCAGGGCAGACCAGAGCGTGTACTAAAGAGATGAGAGGGTGTGAGAGCAATGCCGCCTTTCATTCAAACCTAAATCAGTACTGTAATAATCTAATTAAAAGGGTTTGTTTACAGTAGGTCCACCCACACATCATTCAAGTAGTTTTTATCAAGCCACAAGTGGTTATGCTGTGGGCTTGTGTTTATATATTTGTCTTTTCTGGTTTGCGTGTGTGCTCGGTGAATGAAACTAACATTAATACTCTTCCATCTCCTGCGCTTCTTGCTCGCTCTGCATCCTGGGCTTTTTTTCAGACTAATTTCCTCATAATTTATGGTGCTCCTTTTCTTATTGTTTTCCTACGCATGAAAGGTTTTCAAGGTTTCTAAACGACCACAAACCTGTAAATGATATTCTCATTGGATAAAATGTCTATTTTTCTACCCCAGTGAAAACCAATTTCCCCCGTCCACAACCTTGAAACCCCGTTGACCTGGATGTTGAAGTTGCTAGCAGGGACAGTGATAACAGCCAATTCATATCTATCCTCTCCCAGCTTGGCTACACTCCATGCACGGCTCCGCAGCCAGTTTCCAGAAACCAGAAACCGAAACCCCCGAGGAGGAGACCGTGTCATTGGGCAGCGGGGGCAGCAGCCTGCCCGACCAGGGCTATGCTGCCTCCGAGGGCATGGCGGAGGGGGAGGACTCGGGCATCGTCAGCTGTCCGTCTGAAACCCAGCCCACATCGCCAGACGGGAGTTTGTCTCAGGGTGGAAGGAGCGCAGGAGGAGGCAGACTGTCGGGCCCAATGCGGGACAATTCCAGTGACAGCGATGAGGGATGTGCCACCTGGGAATCAAGGCACAGGTAGAGATGAAGTCATGAAAGGGACAGAAGGAGGTGTGGAAGTAGGTGTTAACAGGAGCGAGGGAGGAAAGTAGAATGACGGTGGCAAGCACATAATGTAACCTGTTATTTATCTCATTTAAGACATTTGGTTGTCAAGATGATGCAAGGTCTCATTTGAATTGGTGATGCCTGTTAGGAAGTAACATGTAATGTGTTTTCCTCTGAAGCATGACTCATCACGGTTTCAGGTAGCGAGGAAAGTTTTTCTACAGTTTTGAAATGTGGCAGTAGTTCTAAGCCCCACCATGTATTATAGTTGAGCTGTAGCCAGTTGTTCATAGTTACGGTTACTGGACCTTAATCAAAGGCAATTGTGGAAAATGGATGCTGCCCTAGATTTCACCTTCTAGTTGCCGCGAAATGAAATGTGTACAAAACATGCCCAGACTAGGAATACTGAATTGATGGCTCAAAGAAACGTTGTGAATCCAGAGCCTGGCCTGATGCTGCTGGCTCCCCACTAATCCAGGAAAGCACTATAACCCTGTTTTCTCAGAATCGTTAAGGAAAAGAGCACCAATCCAAGTCTTTTCTATTTAGTTTGGCCTTGTTGCAATTTGTTATAGCTCATATGCCAGTACGTCATGAGGCTGCTCCCTCGGAGAGAGTAAAGGAAGTTCAAACTGTGGTAATAATATCTTTACAGCTACATGTTGCTATGCCAACAGGGTCAAATTAAATTAAATTCAACTTTGAACAAGCAAAAATTATTTAAAATGTAAATTAATGTTCTTCTTTCTACTATTAAACAGTTCTTAACAGCTGTTTAATGGTGACTGAGCGACTGTTATGGAAGGAATTATGGAGTCGTGGGGATGCTTTTTACATTTTGGGATTCTGTGTGTGTATGTGTGGAGATGTGTTTGTGACACATGTTTTTATGTACCATCCTCAGACACAATAACATTAGCCCACAGGCAAAGTCGGGCAGGTTGAAAGGCCACTATGAAGACGACCCAGAGCTCACAGCACAGCTTCATCAGACTTTAGCGGATTTCGAAGCGGACCTTGCAGGTGAGGCTAACTGGCTTAAGCCTCAGTCAACCCATATTCTTAAAACTGCAACTCCACATTTGCCAGATCCATGAAGTAATCTTATGAATCTACAGTTTGACAAGTGACTATTTCAAATTCACTTTATTTTGATTAGTAACAGTCATGTTGATCTTCTTTTTTGTCCAAAGTACAGAAATATTATGTATTATGTCCTGTTTCTGCTTTTTCCAGACCACATAGATATCGCATCATCAAAGAATACCCCCTATACCTTGTCAACCGATAGTAATGAGGTGCCAGTGTCTGTAGTGGACATGGATGTCCCAGTCACAGCCATAGATGAAGTATTGGAGGACTTTGAACGTCACGACACAACATCGCTAACCCAGATTCAGCCAGCTAGCAGAAACGGTACGAGGGAAAATATGCCTATGTTGACTGAGACATTATCGCTTTGGATCCCATTATTTACATTTCATGCATTTATCCAGGCTCGATTGTATCAATGCAATGCAGTAACATAACAGTCGTGTGTTGAATTTGTTTTGATTCAACCTTTTCCATCTGATCCAGGCCAGTCCAGTGTGAAGACACAGAACCAAAACAACAATGCATGTACAGCTGCTGATCGTAATAAAAGTAGCAGTGCAAATAATAAGCAGCCGTCTCGACCCAAACAGCAAAGGACGCCACTGGAGGATAAGTCTAAAGCTGACAAAAAGGAAAAAAAGATGCCGGGGACAAAAATGAAGGAGATGATTACCACTGATAGCAGCAGTGTGAAAGAGCAAAGAGCCACATCGGCCGTTGACCCACGGAAACTCAGCAGGGACGCCGAAGTCAAACGTGATCTTGTGAAAGGTAACGCTCAATCTTTGCAAGAGAAGAAATCTGTTGTCCCGCCAACCAGTCAGAGACCATTTTCGCCGGGGGCGACCGAAGAGACGCACAGTGTTCACCCAAATAACTCCAGCCCAACGGGTAAGATCACTCGTAACGTCCCATCGCGCTTTGGTATGAAAACTTTCACTGTGGTGCCACTCAAACCCGCCGTGGTGCACGCCGCCACGGGACAGCCAGCCGACAAGCTAACCATCGGCGCCATTAAGATCGACGATCAAGGGAACATGGTGAAAGGGGCTGTCTCGCGGAACAAAGTTGGCGGTTCGTCAGAGTCGTCAATTAATTCCAGCGAGGGGTCTCCTCTCCTTGGAAAAGCCAAAGCTTTCTGGAGTTCGAGTGAGAGACAGGAAAACCATTTGCCCCGGTGCAGCAGCACAGACGGCCTGAAAGGGCCTTCACCTGCGATCTCAGTTGCAACTTTGAAAGCAAGTAACGCTGAGGATCAGAAAATAACGCAGAATTCATTCTATAAACAGGCAGAGAAAATCCAGATGGTCAAAGAAGAAGCCAAAGAGCCTGTGAGAGCCGTCAAAGTCACAAAAGAGGAAAGGGTAGAGGCGGAAAGCAAGATCACAGTGTCCAAAAGTGTACAAGAGCCAAGTAATAAACCTGCCCTTCCCCCTACTGTCCTTCCAGACCCGAAGAAAGACCTGTCCTTTCTCAAACCATCCAGGCAAACCTCAAGCCAATATGTGGCATCTGCCATCAATAAATACACCCCAAAGCACCACATGCGGCCCTCAGCTAAACCCAGCCATGTCCCTAATGTTCAAGCCTCCTCTGCTTCTTTGAGACTACAGACCTTTGATTTCCAGAGATCAGGCCCGTCCATTAAAGTAAATCCACACCAATCCTCCCAGTCGTCTTTGTCAGATAATGACTTAGCTTCTAAATCCAACCCGCCGGACCCTAAAAGGTCTGTGAGCTACCCAAAGTATGGTTCAGACAGCCCGAGGGATTTAGGAGAAGTGAGATCGGACACGGGGAGATTTGGAAGTGGTACTGGATCCACCAAAGGAAGCTCTAATACGCTGGAAACAGAAACCGCTTTGAATAAGCACATTCAGTCTGGAGGCCCCACCCAAAGAAACACGTTTGCCAGTAATGACAGCAATGGTTTTAAACAAATTCGGCTCAGAAGCTCCAGCCCTGCACAAAGCAGTACTCTACACTCATCTCCTAAACCCCCCACAGTGCTCCAGACTGTATCCCAAGGCCTGGCAAGTGTGAGTAAAATCTGTCTGGCAAATATCTCATGTAGAAAAAAAAAAAGTACAATGTATTCAATACTCCACATTTTCATCTTCAGAACAAGAAGGACGTGACCTCGGCGGCCGGCCATCTGACCCCTGATGCGGAAACACAGCCTTCTGTCACAGTGTCAGAAAAAGCAGTGACCCCTGGGCCTCTGCCGCCTACGTTGTTTGGGCCAGTTCAAAAGTTCAGACCAGTGATTTCTAGATCTGTTGACAAAGACACGAATCTCCACAGCAGCCTGATGGAGGCGATCCAGACAGGCGGAGGCAGAGACAGGCTCAAGACGGTGAGATGAACTCAGCATAAAGTGTAGGGAGAGATGTAATGATGACAACAAAAGTGCAATTATAATGCCAACTGGAACAAAACTACGGCGTATCCTTTCTCTATCGACCAGTAATGGAAACACTATATTCTTAAAAAGAAGAGAACGGCAACGGTGTATTGATTCTCTTCTGTTTATTTGATTATTAGATAACCAGCACAGGTCTCAGCAGCATGAAGAAAGCCTCTTATGTGGAGGAGGAGAATGAGAGATCTGCTCTTCTGGCTGCCATTAGAGCCCAGAGCAGCTCCGGAAGGCTGAGGAAGGTAATTTATTGCTTACGTTGTTGCATTATCCCCGTATGCTAGCTGGTGTACACAGTCTTGCTGTGCTTAAAAGAGAGCAAACTTGTGTGCTTATTATAATCATATAGGGGGTAGGAAGTATGCGTATTGTAAAATATAAATCTTAAACTCTTCTTCTGTCTATATTGTTAACTAGATAGCAGCTCACAGAACCAAGTGAACCAAGTTAAGAATCACTGTGGATTTAAAGGGGCCAAAAACCTGCTGCTTGAGCTAAAACATCTGCAGTTCTATTCTGGGGGTTCTGTGCCAGAGGTGGAATCTCTCAAATGCTGCGTAAAAGAATCAAATCCAAAATGTATCCAAATAAAGTGAAACATTTAAGAAATCTGAACAACTATGTGCAATTGCCAACAAACTCAATCTATGAGTCTTAAAAGCATCAAATGCAGAAAGAATAGAACAGAAAAGAATTAGCTTGTGTCAGAGGTTGACGTAGATGCTGTGATGTATTAAGCCATGAGTGTCCAAATCACATGTGGAGTCCAAATCTATATGTGACAACTCCTGTCTTTGTGTATGTGTCTCGTTACCATTGTCTCCCTTCTTTGTGTCCTACAGACCAAATCTGTGGTGGCTAATGAGCTGGAGGAGGAGAGAGGTGCAATCCCCCCTCCTCCCCCTCCCTCTTTCACTGGGACCGTTGTTCCCCTCCCACCACCGCCACCACTACCCATTATTGCACCTCCACCTCCTCCCCCTGTCTTGCCCCTGGCGAAGTCCAGCACGGTGGGGCATCGAGGCGCTACCAGCCCCACGGACGCTGCCTTGGCCAGGGATGCTATGCTGGAGGCCATTCGCTCTGGATCAGCCGCTGAGAGGCTAAAAAAGGTGCAAATACAGGAAAATTCAGCATTTGCACTTAAGATTTAAAGTTATTGCCAAACCTTCCAGCATCCTTTATCTATTCTGCATGAATAGTGTTAATTCTATAGCTGCTTCATTAAAACAGTTTTAGAGAGAAAGCCGGAGACGGCTACAGAGAAAAACATCTGATTTTAACCAGTGTCTTCTCAAATCTTTAATAACGCTTTTATCCAAAGAAACTCACAATAAGTGCATTCAACAAAGAGGGTACTGACTCAGTGCAGCAATAATCAAGGAATTACAATTTCTTCAACAATCCAAACTAAGGTCTATAACTAAGTGCTAATAAAGTGCTTTGGTCTGGTTTCTCGCAGCTTGTATGAATACTTTCTATAAGACAAAGTTCAGGTCGGTGTTTGTGTAAGATTTGAGTTGACAGAAACATTTTCATCCATCCTATAAATCAGACAGGAACAACAGCAAATAATGAATACTGTTAGGAGGAGAAAAATAAGGGAAATCATTTAGTCCCTCAGATTTAATGAGGCGAACCATTCACTCATAAAATTGTTCGTTCGGGCAATTTCTTCTATATCCAAGAACCAGGTGGATTCTTTCCAGCTTACCGTCATATTTCGCCCCTCACCATCACCAAAGTGCGGAATTAGAAACATGATGTGTTGTTTATCTTTTATAACTAGGTGCCTGCACCCAAGAAGACACTCCAAGTGCGCGGCAGGCTGGGAAGAATCCAAGCATCCTCCTCTACGCTCCCTCTGCAGAAGCAAGGGAGGCCCACATGACGGCAACAGGGAGAACATTTACAATTGTGATCAATGAACAATGACCAATTGAACGTTTTGGGGAGGTTTATATTTAATGAGGAATGACAGGAATGACAAATAATAATTTTTACATGCCGTCCAGGTAAACTCGATTATTCAAACGGAGCGCAATGCTTGAACTGATGCACTAATGCGCAAAGAATTAACACACTTCTACTTGTACATCTGATGAAGGATACAGGTCAATGGTTTGCAGGTAATTTTATTCACATTATCTGAGCTGTTTAACAATAGCACTGTTTCTAAATTGTGCCATCTGTATTGGAATTCAGTCGTTTTTACTGGAACACAAACCGTGTGCCAATGAAAGCACATTAAAATGGTTTATACTATTTACCTATCTTTTGTTTTCTTTTTTTTTGTTCCGATCTGTGGTTTTTGTACTTACCATAGTTAAGTTATGGTTGCCTTAAACTGTCACTGTCAGTGTTATGTATATTATGTTTGCTGTAAAGAATTATATAGCGGGTGCAATAAGTTGAATCTGATCATTTTTCCAGATATAACTGATTTATATTTGTTTAAGATATTAGGATAACACTTAAATAGATTTTTTTGATTTCATTGTGTAAAAGTGTATTTGATCCAGATCTGGTCCATGATGCCAACCTCTCCAGTTCTCGGCCCTGAGGAGGAGTAAGATGGTGGTGACTTGTGTCTTTAAGCTCATTAGACTCCTGTTCTAGATTCTAACCTTTTTGCTGCTGTTTAAAATCAAAATAAATACTCACACATGGTCATACAATGTATACTTGTACAGTAGCAATATGACTGACCGTGCCCTCTGATCTAACTTGGTGTGTTATTAAGAAATGAAGATGAACACTGCCTTTGATTGACATTTGAGCATTTTCAAAGCTATTCTATTAACGTTTGTCATTGGTGGATGTCAAAGACAAAAGGCACCAGTTTCACTAATCTACAAGTCTCTACTAGTATGTGATGCTCGTAAAACAATCAGCAGCTAGGAAAGCAGTAGTTAAGTTTATCCGCGTCTTTGATTTGGGCAAATGTTTTTGTGCTCCATTGCTGCAGTTGAAGGTTCAGGTGTAAATGCTTGCTGCTGTCGAGTGCAAGATACATCTGAGAAAAGGGAGTTGGTGTCTTAGTTTCATAGAGATGAACCTTAATTCATTCTTTGTTTCAAAGCTCAAAAATAGTTTTGCTATTTCTTGTTTTTAACATGATAATGAGAGTAAACAAATAATGAGCTCTTCTGGGGTTTTTTCACCGACTATTTAATCTCTGCTTGATGGTTTCATCTTAACGCAATAGCCTACAGCACGTTGTAGCACTGTAAATTTGGTACACAAAAGAAAGATTGTTGCTGTTAAAGATTTATTTAAATCTTTGGTAGAGAGACATTTAACTGATGGGGGTGAACCTTTTATAAGCTATTGTTTTTTATGTGCACATTGTTGCACATTTTGTCTACCCCAATTTTTTGATTCAATAAACAATTTTGCAATCAAGTGAAAACTTACAGCTGACATTCTTGTATTTAGGAAGAATGTGCATTTTATTTTTCTCTCAATTAGCAGTTGGACCAATGTGAGATTGGACAGATGCTAGTATTATCCATGCTGTGGAAAGCTTCATCCCGATGCGTCTGGGCCGTACCGCGGATGCAGACATGTGGTCATCTTGCTGTCCTTTATGAATTATAGTGCAACCTCTCTCTTTCTCTCTCTTTGCCACACCACAGAAGAGCTTCTCTTCCAGGCAGCAGCTTAGGACCCTGACGCATCACTATGTCTTCACACAAAATGACCCTCACAGAACTTACTATAGTCACTGTGCCGCTCTGGCTTCCGCCAAAATCAAACGAATGATGCAAATATCCGGAAAAGTTAGAACACGTCTCAATTAAAGTGTAGGTACACGTTGGTGGGGAAATCGTCTTATTGGCTGACGTGTCCGGGAGAAACTGAAGGGAAATAAACACTTGGCTCACCCACCAGAAACCAATACTGTGTCTTTAGACGACTCTCTTATTTGGACTGCAGAGGTGTTACCAAATAAAATTGCTGCAATGAAATGGCTCAGGTCTCATGGGACAAGGGTTCACGCTCACTCACACAGTCATTCTGAACTGCGATAGAAATCTCTGAAGGGTGCATATGAGTGGGAGGGCGCCACTGTCTGTGTGTGGGTGTGAGGGGGGGGGTTAGTTGCGGGTATGTGCGTGTGTCTCAGCTTGTATTTGTGTTACAGTTCCAAACCATTTTAACCATACCGGCGACGTAAACAACATCTGGATCAAGGATTACCAAAAGATCCCACCACATTGTACAACAGAAATTATTCGGATTTAGGACTGGCTTCAGTTACGCCTTTACCAACTATTTTGGTTAGTTTGTTGCCATAACGGTTTCACATTCAGGCTCTAAAGCAGGCCACTTTAGTGAAAGCTACTCGCCCACTGCCTTTGCTTATATTACACAGCTTTGTTAGTCCTCTCTGGCCAACCTGTGAGTGATGGACGCGGTCACACTGACTATCAACAGGGGTTTGCGTTGCCTTCGTTTTTGGATGTTGTGTAGTCTACTACGTATCGCATCAATCGATCTCTTTGATGCTGAATGTCGGATGCGGCAAAATCCACATAATGTTTGTTTAGTTTATGTCTTCTTGCCAGTCTCACAAGAAAACGCTTTGTCCCATGGTGGCACCCTGGCTATAAGTGTTACAATAATGTGTGTTTGTATGTGTGTGTGATATAGCTACACATATCGTCTCTCTGAGTATGTGTTTACACATTGAGGGAACACAGTGTGATTCTCCCCCCCGTTGTCCTGATCCAGGCTCATACACAGACGTCAGGAAAGATGACCTTTGGCATTGACTCCCATGGTGTGTTCCCTTCGCTTACACTAATCCATCTGAAATAGCACATGCATGCAAAATAAGGGAAAGGTCTGGTTGTGGCTGATGTCACTAAAGCTTTGTTTGAAAATGCTCTGGGATTCAATTCAAGTCACTGCCTTTGGTGCACGTCACTTCTCCTAAATGTTTTCTTCATCTCCATATGTTTTCAGCTATAGTTCCCAGTCTAGATTGCAATAACACATGAGCTGAAAATACACCTGTTGCTGTAGCTTTGTCATATAAACATCAGATGGTCTTGTGCAATATACGTACACGGCTCAGAAGAATAAAAACACAACAGTGCCAGGAAGGTAACTCTAGTTCAATGAGATTCAACCTCCAGTTGTGCAATAGACATACACCTCACAGCTACTCGTGTTTTAATATGTAATCGTGCATGTCCGAGCAGGACTTTTTATTAGAAGGAGAGTGCTTTTAGGGGCAAGTTCCCCTTGCTTCGGCCTGTTAACATACACATGTAGCCTGTTTATGAAAACACTAACTGTACATCAATTGTTCTAACATTGTTGAAGACATGAGGCGGTATACTTGGCAGAGAGCAAACCGACCGAACATCCAACGCTCTCATTTCAAACAATACGCTTACATTCATCATCTTACATACTCATATGTCGTCGTGTCCTTCTTCATGTAAAGTTACCGTAAAATTCAAGTTAGATTTTATTCTAACAGGGTCATTTAAACCTTACACAGTTAGCTTAATATGGAATACTGAGGTATTCAATGCAGTAATATGAATGCAATAGGAATAAGAGCCGTAAAAAGTTTTAAAACTTTTTAAAGGGTAAACAAGGGAAGACGGGAATAATGTTACATTTATATATTCGATTTTTCATAACTTGAATTTGTTTTCCTTTCAGATAAGCAACAATAAACAAAAACACGTTGGTCTGTATACGCAGGCAGCGCCAACTTAACCCCAAACGCCAGGGAGACAAATAAAAGCGGAATCCTCCGTGATGCGCCATTACTCCCGGAAGACGTGAACACCGCATTAATCGCCCCTCGCGTGTGGGCGTGGTCTTCTCTAAGGGGGAGGTGTTGGTGGTTGCCAGCGTGTGCGTGCGTGCGTGCGCGCGCGCGTGTGTGTGTGTTTGTGTCTGTGTACGTGTGAGTCCTCCCCGGCAGCATGAGATGAGCTGCCTGCACTCTTAGCGGCCACAGTCCTCCACCTCCTCCTCCGCCTCCACCTCCTCCTCCGCGTCTCCCTGCCGCTGTCCGCGTGTCCGCTCCGGGAGTGTTGACCACCGCGGTGTGATCGATCAACGCCCGCGCCCTGCAGCCTCGTCTCCCGGGCGCGCCCGCGTGTCCGTCCCGGAGGGTCGGAGCTCGCCTCGGCTGATCCGGCTGTAAGGTGAGTGCGTGATGGGACCGTATGACGGCGCTGATCTTATGCCACTCGTGAGGACGGTGGGAGAGGGGGCTCGGGGGCTCGGGGGGTCGGAGGTGGGTGGAGGGTGTCCGGTGGAGAGCGCGTGTAGTAAAAGTTGGACTGTTGTGATGATGACGCGCTCTGTTTTTGCGGGTGCGGAACACATGTGCGGCACTGGCACTGCGCGGGACCCGCGTGTGTGTGCACCCCCCTCCCCACCACCCCTTGAAAAACGTCCTGCCATTGAACTTCCAAGACAAGTTTATTCCCACGATCGGGCCGTTGCATTTAACTACAATCACCGTGTTCCTGACCCCCGCGGTGCGCGGTGTCCGGTGGGGAGCAGTAATCTGACACCAGCAGCTGCCTTGTTGACGATTGCGTAACAGCCTTCTACACTGGCCCATTGCCTACTTTCACTGGCCCAAAGCCCCTGCGTAGTCCCAACCCAACCCCATCCCCCCACCGCCCCGTCCAACGACGCGACTCAGTTTCGCAAGTCTTGATTCATTGCCTTATCGTTTTGGCAGCACTTTGGGCTGAGAGAGAGACACACACAGAGAGAGAGAGAGAGAGAGAGAGAGAGAGAGAGAGAGAGAGATTGTGATGTTGATCGAGTTAACGCGACAGAGTTGACAGAAAAAACGGAGTTTACTGTCAAACGAAGTTCACTTCTTTACTGTCAGAAGTGTTATGGGTGCACTTGTTAGGCAGGGCTGGTGCTAAATCAATACATACCTTCAACAGCACTCCCACTGGGAGTGTGTTGGGAAGTTTTATCATATTGAATTTCTTCGATGTGAGTTACTTAATGTAAAAATATTTCAGAATAATTGGAATACTTATTCACCTGTGGCCCAAATACTGTGAATGCAAAGACTATGCCTGCAGGAAGACCAGACTATTATTCTTTGACTTATATCTGCTACAAAAGCTAGAAATGCGCAGTATACCCTGTTTAATGATGGTAATACTATGTAACGTGTGCATGGATTGAAGAGATTTGTGATCGCCATCTAATCATTATGTGTAAAGGTTTTGACAGAGAAACTCGTGGATGTGTTTAATCTACTCTAATTTAGGTCTCCCTTCCAAATCAATTATTGCCTGCAAGTGGTCTCTGCAGAAAGTTGTATAACCGACACAATTTATTATTCTGGGAACTATCGACGTTGCCCCGTGTGTTCACAATGCAGATCAGGGCTCTCACTGGCAATGCAGAGTTCAACTGGAAGGAGGCGTGCAGCGTCTGCTGCCCATTTTCCCATGGGGAAAACTCCTGGGAAAAACAGCCCTCTCTGAATTTTTAAGTTTTGGAGTACTTTGAATTGGAGTTCATCAGCTCAACATACTTTTTGCTCTTGATCTTCCAAGGGAGGGGTGGGACCTCTCTGGCCACGGACATGACCAATTTGTAATTGTGTCTCGATATGACGTCTGGTGATTTTTAGTGCTTGAAGTCATTCAACACTTACTGGCTGAATTACTAAAGGATTATTCAAAACCCCACATGCTTAAGTGCATAAGTATGTCCTAAATATAACCTCAACATACATGTCATAATTGACCTTACTTGAGTCCTTAAAGCAAAACCCAATCTGGCCAACCGCTGATATGTTTCTCAGCCAGGTAACATTCACTGTAGCACTTACGTTTACAGCACACACGCGCTCCCTGCGCGTTGCTCGGATACCAAGCAGTCTGAGCGTGTGGCTGCTGCTGCTGCATGAAGTCTAAAACATGCCACAGTTGTGTCTTTTCAAGCGTGCACTTTTTTTTTTTTTTTTACACTCTCCCATTTCTGTCCAAAGAGGATTCCGCTTTTATCAGTCCCGTTGTTGTCTTTTATTTGATTACGTTGATTAGGTTGCCATGTGCACATCTTTGTGCACATGGCAACCGCTCATGCCGTGGCTTCTCTCACCTCCCTCTAAGCGCCAGTCCTGCTATTTCAGGTCCATGCTCAGTAAGCACGGGCATGACGGGGCATGAACTCTGCAAGACTACAGGCTGCTGAATGCAGTTACTTGTACTTACGCTAAGCTGCACTCAACTCGCTCGAGGATTTAAACCTGTGTGTTTCGTCTTTCAAGAAAGCCTGTTTTTGCAGCTCACACTCCAGCGGTTCCTCATTGAAACACTGTGTGCCTGGCAATGATCACCCCAGAGGTTTGTTGCATAACCAAAACCTGAGCCTCACTTTATATATATATATATATAGACACTTTTTCTCAATGCACATTTCATACTTTGCTTGTTTGCATGCATATGCGTTTAGCTGCTAACTACGGGTTGAAGTGGCAGGGATATCCCTATAGCTGGTACTGGTGGTATAATAGCCTGTGGTCGTGCTCTAGGCAGCATTCCATTGGGTGTTGCGTCAGCCAGCAGTCATTCAGCAGCAGTCAGTAGGCCTATACACTGGTAATACCCCCCTCCCTGATGTCATGACACCATCAACCTAAACCTGCCCGGGGACCGCAAAGCCACTTCACCATCCGCACCAACACGCTCAGCTGGCTGTCAGAGGTCAAAGAGTAAACCACAGAAGTTTTGTATTTTGGACAACGGTTAAGTTTGTGTTGTTTTATTCCTCGACATTCTCCCCACTGTCAACACATAAATGCCCCTGAAGCATTCTACAACATGTTTGCTATTAGATTGATGGATTCTTACCCACAAGCTAACACAGTCGTTAAGACTCGTGTGGCCACTTATTGTTGATGTTACAGGCCAATTCATGTTTTACTTTCTTGGTATCTCAAGTATAACTGCTGAGTAATCATGTCCTGCCTCGTAAGGAGTCTAGGAACTGAAACTCTTGCCAGGGGAAAAACTTTGCGATATTATAACTCATCCTCCCCCCTTCGTACTTTAAACATGAATCTTTTCAGACACGATTCTCACCGCTATCGCTTGTGACCTAAGATGATGCAACGCTTGCTTGTCAAAACAGCAAAGTGTACAGTGGATTAGGTCCATCCCTTTTTGGTGCTTGTCCAAATGTGGCTGAAACCCAAGTTTGCACGAAAGGAAGAATGTTGCCTTTGTTCCGTAGATAACCGAACACCCGAGGGAGCACATGCTCGGGTGGCCGCAGGTAACGTGGTGCGAGGGCTACGGGGACGTGCCAGACAAAATCAACTCATCAACGCAGGAGATTGTGTTCAGTTTGCCAAACCAATCATTTCTGTCAGTCTTTAATTCCACAATTATTTGCAGTGCACTTTTTAGCGACAGGAGGAAGCCTGAAATGTGAAAGGCTAGGGTTTGTTTTACCGATTAGAGCAAAGGAAAAGAAGGACAATGCATTGTTGTGTATTTGAATAATAACTGATAATATAAGTCAAATAATAATAATGACTGCATAAAATAAAGTTGTAATGTATCAACTGTCTATTTCTCGTTTATCTTATCTGATTTATATTTTCGAGATAATATTAAAAAAACTTTAATTTCATGCACAGATTGGCTCTCTTTGGAATAGAATTCATAAAGCCGATTATGGGATTGGGTCGCGATGATTTATGATTTTTAAAAGTGGGACCCCACAACAAACCCACCATGTACACCAATTCTACCGTTACCATTGTGTCCTCTTTCCTTTGTCTCTACATAACTGTCATGCCTTAGTTTGTCTCTTTGTCCATGGTCTCACTGTCTATATGGCTGTCTCACTCCCTCTGTGGATCTGTCTCCCTGTACGACCGCGATATACAATGCTGAATAATAACAATCCATAGTTAGTTGGTGTTTTGTACAGTTTATTACAAAAAGGCTTTTTTACCCCAGAAACATTTCCTGGTGCGTAAACAGGCCTTTTTCTGATTCCCTCACAGCCTAAATTTCTTACCATGTATTCATGTATTTAGTTGTACATAATTTGTACATAAGTTATTTTAGGCCCTCTGGTTTTGTAGTAGATTAGTTAGTTAGTTACTTAGGAACAGTAATTTCACTAAGCCCTTCTTATTATGATTTTAAGCTGGCAAAATTTGTAAGCATTCCTTAGAGTTAGTAAACCAAATAAATCCGGTTTCTCATGGTCTTCATGAATACAACTGGAGCCCTTTTCTGATTCCAGTTAAATGTTTTAGCAAATCGTTCCGCTTGATTTGGGTAAGATGTTTCCCTTTTTTCTAGATGATAATGATGTCATGCCAAAACACATCTTTACAGCTTTACGTTCTTTACTCACAATCTTGCAATGGTTCTTTGCATTTTACAGCATTGATCATTGAAAGATGTTATGTGCTACCAACAGGTGTAGAATAGATGGTGTCATGAGAAGACAAATCCATCTAGAGCAGCTCTCTGGGGCCACCATCACAGTCAACTTGTGCACAAGCACAATTGCTCCCAAGCTCCGTCCATTCATCAACACCATTGCATAAGACCAGTGCTCCCAGCAGCCCAATGAAATCCTCATCCAATTAGGCACGGCCCACGTTTCCAAAAGGCCTTTCTCTCATAGACTGGTGCTATTCATACTTCACCAGTATGACATCAGGCCCTCTCTTATAGCCCCACTTTACGCTGCTGCTCTCAAATAATGAAAGCTGCCAATTAATTACTAATCAACATGTGCAACAAGCACATCCAGTGAGGAGTGACTACATCTAATCTGCTGATTAAAACAGGAGACAGAGATGCTCTGTTGGACTCTTTCTCCTGTCTTCAGTGTGGCATTGCTGCAGAAACCACAGACAACGCTCACACACACACACAGAAACACACACACATAATTACAATTATTTGTCATTCTAAAAGCTTCGATAAATGGTCAGTATTGTTTCTTAGTGTAACCTACAGTGAGTTTCAAATATGATTCTTTGGTGTAATCTAATGACTTGAGTAGACCATTTTAGTTTGAGAAAATAAAAACATTAAGTGCTGCCTACAGAGTGCAAGTCTGGAGCGAATATCTGGTTGACAGCAGAACAATAGAGTAGAGCAGGCAATGTTTCCACCCAGAGAGCTCC